ACTATCCTCCCCTCCCTCCTCTCTCTCTCTCTCTCTCTCTCTCCCCCTCTCTCACCACTCTCGTTGCTCTCCTCTTCCTTTTTTTTTTCTACGCGCCTCTCCTCTCCCGCGTATTTCATACTCGGACCAGAAAAGACTCGGCAGGTAAGGAGTGACAAAAAACGGTAGTCCAAGGTAGAGCCCGTGAGCCTCTTATCCAGAAGATTTCCTCACGGACGTGTTTCCGGCAGGCGGGCTGCAATAAATTCAGCCGCGCCGGCTACCCGGTCGCAAAAGGGAGATTATTACGGGGACGATGACGAGGTCGAAAAAATTTCATTAAAGCGCTGCCGACGAAAAAAAGCTTTTTCAGCGGTCCGCGCGTCCGAGAGTACCAGTAGCCGAGGAACCACGGAGGTTGCAGTCCCGCAATTCCGCCGTCGTCCGCGCATCGAATTACAATCCGGTACCCTTCGCACGCCTCCGATCGCGATTAATACTTTTTAGTGCGAGGTTTGCGAAACTGCATTCGCGCCGTTTTTAAAGTAAGAACGGGCCGCGCTTTTTTACGATAAAATACTCCCTCCCCCCTCTCTCTCTCGCGCGCGCGCGCGCAGATGTAATTGGATTAATGAATATTATCATTCTACGCTACGCAATATTGGCTCGAGAGATTCAGGTATACCGTGCGTCTTCTTTTATCCTACGGTTGCTTTCTTCATTTTCCCGACCAATCGATATTCTCGCGTTTCATCTGGAGATTATTATTTAGAGAAACGAGAGAACGCGCCACTATCACCGCCGCGTGTTTATTTCGACGCCCCCGCCGAGGTTCTTTATCGTCTGGGAAATTTCATTAGGACGGTAAAATTCATCCTCCCTTTTATACCCGGGCGCTCTCCGCGGTTGTGTCTATGCCCCCTGCTTTCATCTCCGCTGCAAGCTGCGAGGAAAAGACGGAGGAAAGACGCGGCGTCGTTAACGCCGCGCGGCGTTTAATTGGATCGCGCCGAGTCGTTCTCGTTTTAATGCGCCTTGTCGATTTTTTGGCGAGACGAATTTTAGACTGCCCTATGCGATTACTCGGCGAGAAAAAAAGACGATTAGCCGTTTTACTATAATACATCTCATCGCAATCCCATTGCATTCTCATTTCTCGGCCGGTCGAAAGATCGCCGCTCACTTGAGATTTAAGTCACAAGCAACATTTGTAAGAGATCACAATAAATCTTGTAATCTCTTTTATAAGAATAGAATTCATACTACAAAGCTTTTCTACACAAAGAAAGAACCGTTTTGATGAAGGATCTGAAAATTTGAGCAGATAAAAGATCTAAAAAGTAATCTTGTTTTGGATCTTCAAAATAATTACAGAGAAATTCAAATTAGTTGCTAAATTATAAAAAAATTCGGCAGCATCATCATCATCATCATCATCATCATGCTTAACAATGTGTCCTATACAATAATTTTGGTTCATGAAAATTATTTTTCAGATTTGTATCTGGTCAAACGTTTGGATCCTCGCGATAGCGACTGTTCTTTCCGGTGAAAATGTAAAAAGTGTTACACAACGCGGAAATATTATTGGAATAGTGGAATAGCGCACAATTGTCTTTTTCTTGAGCGTATAGTTAGCCGGTTGCATTAAATATGACTGGAACAGAAATCGTGCATTCGCGTATCGCGCGATCGACCGATGACCGTTCGATGCCGAACGATGAAAACTATGCCGCGGTTAGCGTCTTTGTGGTCGAGTATCGATCGCACACCCTCGCCACGCCGTTCCGCAGGCAGACGTGTCTCGCTATTTTCCGCATTGGCGGCGAAAGCATTGGAGCGAAAGAGATGGCAGAGAGACGTGCAAATCGCCCAACTTGGCTTTCCTCTTTGTTTTCCGGGGGATGCACCACCGGTAAAGCGCAAAACCGAATCAAAACCGAATCGTTCCGCGTTATTTTTCGCGCGTGGCGAAAGAAATGAAGTTTCCCGAGGCTATGTTGTTTTCCGTTCGCTATGTCTCTGTTGTAAAATCATAGCAAAATACCTCCGGACCAACCCTTATTACTTTGAATCGATTATTTATCTTGTTTCTTTCCGGTTGGTTATATCCTATAATTTCCTCGAGAAAGAGAAATGCTGACAAAAGATGGCACACTTTGGAAGCCATATGGCTGGCGTGGTCGAAACTACCTGCGAACGACCCTACGGGGTGCTCTCGCTTTTACCTTATAAAAAAAGAACCATTTGCCACCCATGGTTTTTCTCTCGCAGATCAAATCGTGGCAAGTAAATAAATACGATAGTCGAAAAGTAGTAAAGTCAATAAACTCAGAGTACGCGCGCGCGAGCGGGATGAACAGAAAAAGAAGAGAAACGGGAGATATACGTGGATGCTGCCACCCTCGCGGATGGGGCACTGCCCCTACGCCAGTAATATCGCCACCATAATCGCAATTCCGACAGCGTAGCCGGATAGGGAGGGTTAGCGAGAGTCTGTAGGAAGACCTCGCTACGAGCAGGAAGGGGAACGTTACGAACTTTTAGTCCGAGGGGTTCGCGGATCTTAATATATATTGAGCTCTCTCGTGTCGGAGGGGGGGGGGGTTAACCCGTCACCCTCGGGGTGAGGTTGCATCGGCAGGCACGTAGGGGGTTCTCTCGTCCGTCGAACTACGTGCATCCGGCGTTACGGACCGCTCCCGCGACGGACACGTAGCGCATCCGACGGTCATCCCCCCCCCTCCCCCCTCACCGTTCTTCTTCCTATCGCTCGACTGACACCTCCGGAGAACCTATCGCTAATTACGTTCATGATGAAATTACGAGGGATGAAAGACTCTTATTAGAGAAATTCAAGCCTATCGTATTAAATGTTATTTAAAATTAATGCTTTTAATATCAGTGTTAGATATATGCGAGAGAGAGAGCGAAAAAATGTGTGTGTGTCTATTTGTGAAATATATAAACAATGACATTAATATAATTTAAAAATCTACTAAGAATCTAAAGATACGAATATCAATTTTGAGACGCAGAAAGAACAATTTTACCGAAGTATTAAAAAATTTGACAAAATACAGATTTTGTTAGGTCATCAAAACAATTATTTTGATATATAGGACGTTTTTGATGAAATTGATCGCTGTAACAGAATATAAAAAATTTTTTCAGTGTTAAGCGTCCTGTATAATTATTTTCATCTCACTATAGATTATTTTTCAGATCTGTGTCTGGTCACATTTTTATATATTTCAACAAAAACTGTTCTTTTCGAGTAGACAAGTAAAGGAGGGTAGCAAATTTATAGCGAGCGCACCGTCAATTATCCTCTCATAGGAAGTTCATTAACTCGAGCACGGTCCGACTCGCGAAATGGTCGTCGCTTTAAATACAATGGTACTGATATCGCCCGCGATATAATACAGCGCCCGGACGAGGGTAGTTCGTCCGTTACGGGCGAACAAGTGCACATATGTGTATCCCCGGGCAGGGTGGGCGGACATGACAGGGGTGGCGTGGTTACGCCACGCGCCAATCGAAAACTTTATGTAACCGTTTATTTCGC